TAATCAAATGTATATTACTGCTTAAACTTTTGCCATCGAGCAGTCATCACTACTCATATAATATTTGGTTAGTCGGATATTTTGATTTTTTCATTGATTGATTGATTGATTGACTGAATATAATAAATTATTCAATAACTGATTGATAATCAAATACCTCATGTAACCGAATCGAAACGAGATTTCCTACGCCATCTATTTGTTTATTTCTAAATCAATCATTTCATTTAAAATTGAAGAGCCTTCAGAGGAGAAAGTAATAAATAATACAATAATAATAAGAATGGAGGAGTCTTCTTACTAATTAATATTTACAACTTTATGAGAAATTTTAAAGGTAAATGTAAACCAATGGTTTGTTTTCTATTATTAAAAATTTATTTGAATAACAGTCAGACGCGATCGACATGTCTACTGTCATAGCTATGTAAAATTTTTGTGAAACACGTCAATTTTTACTATTAATAAAATCGAAAGAACTTTTTACTTGTCACTAGTACACCCACATGTAATTTTTAACAAGGAATGTGATATTTTGTACACACATTCTTTGAGATTTTATTTTATTCCTTGTAAAATTTTAGATATGGTTTCATAAAAAAACGATAAATAATTAGCAGTTAGAAGTTATACATTTTTAAATAAAATATTAATAAAATGAAAACTAATAATAAGTAGTTGATTATATAATTTTTTAATATTGTAATTATATTCTTACTAATAAACTTTACTTTTTGTTTATATATAAAATAGATGTTGCAAGACTCATTAAAGGATACATATATAAATGTTTTTAAATAATGAATGATAGGAATGGTCACAAAATGTTGTTCCAATAATTACAACACTGCCTTAGAAAAAAAAATAAGGAATTAATGTATGTTGAGCACATTTTTAGTATTAATATTAAGAAAAATATATGATATAAATAATGAAAATAAATTCTCTTTGTAATTTAATATTTTTTTTTCTCCTAATTGTGTAATGTAATATTTATAATTACTATATACATAACAGTGACAATTGCAGAAGAAAGAAAATATAGGCTATTATTATTATTATTTATTATTATTTTTTAATGATTGGTTATTAATGAAGTCTTTCTTTAGCAGATAAAGGAATTAAGTACATTGTCATTTTAAATATAAATATGATATAATTATATAACAATATCTTATAAATCTATTTTTAATCATTTTAATCATTTTAATCATTGTAATTTCATTATAATATTATTAATAAACAAATATTTTATCTGCAATCATATATTTTTTAAATACCTACCTTCTATAATTTTTTATTCATAATTTTTACCATTGTATCAAGAAGTTTACAAAAAAATACCACATTCCACTGTTGGTAAACAAAGTAAATATGTTGCTTTGTGAAAGTTAAAGAACATAATACACTCATCAAAGAAATCAACAAAGGTAGATCAAAATGAAGAGATAGAAGTTGGAGACAATTTACCCACTCTGATTTCAGACATAACAGTTGCAGCAATTGATGAGATTGAAAATCAACTCTGCCAATGCCACATGAAAGTTATATTTATGTCTATAATATACAGTTCATGTTATCAATGAAAATAATAATTAGGGTAAAAGCATTTATAAATGACTAGTTGTTATTTATTTTAATGATAATAGATGAACAATAATAAATTAATTAATAGTATAGTTAATATGGTTAGATGATGTTGATAACACAAATGATAGTTCTTAATTTATAATTGTTTAAAAATTCATATTTATTCTTATTGTATTTTTTCTTTGATGTATTTTTTGTACTAAATTGTTTTTTATTTTATAATTTTTTCTAGATGTTTGTACAAGGTAAGGACACAATGATTTTGTTACCAACAGATGGAGGAAAAACTCTATGCTACTCTGCCTCTGCTTTATTATGTGAAGGCCTTACAGTAGTTTTCAGTCCTTTGAAAGCACTCATAGATGATCAAGTGGTATGGTAATTTTAATTGAATATTTATTAAATCTGTTCTAGAAAAAATTACTAATATAATTCTTTTAGATTGAAGTCACTAAAATGGGTATCCCTTGTGCCGGTCTTTATACTTCAAATGGACAATCAGCATCTTATCAAAAAAAAGTATTTGAAGAACTATCATCTGGTTTTACCAAAATTCTTTTTATAACTCCTGAAAAGTTTGACAAAAATATTGGATTTCAGAAAATGCTGCATAGGATCTATGAAAAATTTGATTTATGTTTTGTAATTGATGAAGCTCATTGTATTAAAGAATATAGACATTTTAGGTTTTTTTCTATATTTTAAGTTGTATTTTAATTTTGGAATATCCTATATACAGAAAGGTTCTTTTTTTGAAATATACAGTACCCTACCAAAAATGGAAATTTATTATATAAAAAAGGAAATAGTTCAAATTTTTGTAACGTCCTCATGACAGTTATCTATATGTGACGATTAATCTTGTGAGGCTTGGGGTAGCAGGAGTTATGGAATGCTTACCAACTCCAAAATTAAAATTTTTATTTGTCACATACGTTCTGTATATTTCATAAAAAGAACCTTTCTGTATACAGTCTGCCCTTGTTTCAACAAAGTGGCTGGACATATAAGAAAATTTTATTCAACACTCATTGAAACAAGGTTACTAATTGTGTTTCAACAAATTTTTATATGTTTTTATAATGTGTAACAATGTTTTTAAAAATTTGTTGTACATATCAAAAATTTAATTATACTTCATTGAAACAAGGGTTCACTGTATAGGATGGCCCTTTAATTTTTTTAAAAAAATGAAAGTTTTTGATCCAGAATTTTCTGTACCAGGTGCAAAAAAATTAAGAACTATGATTGGGAAAAGTTACAGTTTTAACAAAGAAGCATTATGTGAAATTTTTCAATAAAGAATTATTAACTACAGACTTCTGGACCAGTAGAGCCAAAAAGCGAAATATGAAATTATGAATGTTTTTGCAAGTTGGGATTCTAATGAAGATATAGATAGAAACAGAATATTTTATTGTAATTACTGTTATTTTTTTAATAATAATAATAAGATCATCCAAAAATTCTAAATCCGGTTTGTCTGTTTAGAATCTGAATTCAAACCAGTTTGACAAAAATAAATTGGATCCAAACTCTAATTATATAATAACATAAACCCAGATCAACCAGATAGTTTTTTGCTCAAATAGATAGTTTTTTGCTCAAATAGATATTTGTTTGCACAAATAGTAAATGTTAAAATGCAAAGGTAAAGGCAGCCACCATCTGACCAGATAGTTATTGTTGTCTTGATGGTGGTCTGACCAATATAGTTAACTTGAGAACATATTCCCAAGTTATCTTTTGTATGTGACTAACTTTGAGAACAATTTTGAAAGCCTGCCTTTACTATAGGAAAGAAAAATGCTTAACTTCAAAATTATTTATAACTGTGGAGGCTTTGTTTCTTAAGGGTAGGGGGAATCACGTGATAAATTAATACAAAATCCGGGATCAAAATTTGACTTTTCCAAAATCAATAATTGTCTTAAAGGTGAAGCTATATGAGATGCATTCAAATAACTCCCGTGTTATTCTATATGTGTATTCTGCTGTATAGTAGTTATTGAAAGTGTTTTTGAATAAAATCTTCTTTTAAAATTCTTCAAAAAACAAAACTCATCCCTAATTAGAGAAATTCATCCCATAACTCATCCCATATTAACATATACTCATCCCATAGTAACAAATATTCATTTCACATTTAAAATACTTAAAATTTATTATTATCATAGTAATAGGAAAACTTATTGGACATTTTGTGATGATCAACATTGAAACCAATAAAAAAATTTTTTGATCCATGATTTACTTTTGATTTATCACGTGATTACCCTACCCTTAAATTAACATCATTCTTCATCTGATTTAATGATTCAAGGTATCAGTCGTGTGACATGTCCTTTCAAATTATTTTCTATATTAAATAAAAAATTTCTAATTCGTGTCACATGAATTT